ACATTTAAAGATTCACATGGCTAGGTAAATTTTATTTTAAAGTGTTTGTTTTATTTTATAGCATTTCTTGCAGAGAAGAAGTTGTATGTATCCTGCGTCAACAGCAGTTGAGGCCTCTATATATGTTGCTCTATGTAGTTTAAAACCTTGGTTTTTTTTCTTCCTCCCATCTTTCCAAATCAGTGTCTTTTCTCATGGTCATGGGAGGGAGGTACAACTGAGATAAGTTATATACAGTTCTGTCTCAACTGAGAATCTTGGTTCCTACCATGCCAGTTTCAGTTCTTTAATAACCCAGAAATAGACACCAGGAATAGCTGGAGAACAAGGGCTTCTTTAATAAGGGCTATAAGTAGTTTATATATGTTATTAATGTAAATAAATTAATAATTTAACAGAAAATCTCAGGGCATGTTATAAAGAATAAATAGATGGGATAGTTTGTAGGTTGACACAATCATAAAAAAGCAGACCACATTAAAACAACAGTTAACACCACTTAGCAGTGGTGAATTTAATGGAGTTGTATTACGTGGGTTAACCACTTGATTTTCATAAGTGGATTACTTATTTCATAAAACAGAAGACAGAAAGTTTTGAAAGAGCCAGGATCTGTGAAGGCTATTTCAAAGCTGCTGGCATTGTGTTTTGTATAAGAATTACTTAAATGATGCATCTGGAAGTCACTATTTTGCCTCTCTTCAGAGTAGGCATTAACACAGTGGGAGTGTCTCCAGATGGAAGGAATGTGCTTGGTATTGATGTGGTGAATGGGCGCATTGTCAGGCTGAATTACCCTGGCTCATAAAGAATTCTTGTCTGTAACCCCCGATGACATTTTGCCAGAAATAAGCTATCAACTTACTGCCAACACAAATAAAAGCTGGGATTCCTTGGTAAGCACAAAGCTTCTATGTGCTCATTTCCGGCCCGTGTGAACCCTTCTGAGAAAGGATAGATGGATGGTTCAGCTCCTGGTTATTCCTTCACACAGCTTAAAATGACAGATCTTCCACACTCTTAACATGGAAAATCAACAAGAGATCATTTCTAATAAAGTTTGAATTCTTTATCAATGACATCTGCTCTTCATATATTCAAAAGTTGACATTTATGGCTTTTCATGAGAGCAAGAAAATGAATATTTTATTCATTTTACGTTTGACCTTTTAGACACTACTTCTCCTACATGGGTCCAGCCCTACAAAATAAAAACAAAATGAAAGCTTTTATGTAATCCAAAGCAAATTGTCTCGTACTCTGTAAAAAAAAAGGGAGGGGGGCCTTTGGCATCATGGAGAAAAAGAAGTCAATGCATGAATACTCTGTGGTGGGATCATGGGCTACAGACCTAAACATTTCCAACTGGGGTTCATCCTTATGACAATATCTTAAAGTTTCAGATGATCTTGAAAGAGATTGTTGTATTCTCTGTATTTTTAATAAATTTTAAAATACTTAACATTTTCTCCAACAAAATGCAACAGAATCTCAAACTTAATAAAAGCAAACAGGCAGTCCTCAAAATTGCTTTTAAAAGCAGGACTGAATATTCTCAGTGTAACATTTTTGTAGGAGCAAATCCAGAATTTATATTTCCAATATTTTATGTGCGATGGTGATCAACATTTTAATTTTAAGGCTATAAGAATCTTTTTATACTTTAAAAGCACTCTTATGCTTGCTGTATTGATATGAGTAGTATTCAAGTCTTAGTGACCATATTCATAGATTATTTTCCCCCTAGCATGAGCCGTTCTCAACCTGGCTTTCAAATTATCCAATAGTGAACCTCATCCCTGCTATAATTGCTATAATTGAGTTAATCCACTTTGTTGCTAAATCTTTCTTCCTTTTCTCCTTTCTCATCATTACAGATTTCTCCTGAGACATAGAATAGAGCAGAGCAGAACAAAATATTATTCCGGTGACTGACCAATAAAAATACAGTCAATAACATGAATAACACAAAACTATTGTGTTGTGTGGTTGAACTATTATCAACCATACTCTGATTTCTTTTGAGATCATACTAATCTTTTGCTTTTTACTAAAGATTTTCAGAGGGTCACTTTTTGACATATTGTGTCCAACATAGAATATTTAGGCCTGGGCATTTTTGGTCTCAAGTAAAAATTCAGAGTCAATATTCTTTTTATTCTGCTTCTACAATGTTCAGCTTTTGCTTCCAAGAGTGTCATGGAGGAAACACAATTTTCTCCAATTGCCTGCACCATTCTGATCTTTGTAGATATAGACACCCAGCATCTGAATAACTTTTCCGAGATCTCAATAGTGATTTATCAAGAGCTTATTTGTGGGGCTTTTTTTTTTTTAATACAGTTTTATTGAGTTTTAACAAAACAAATAAAACATCTTGAGTACAGCATAGTTCCGGGTTATCATATTTCCATACAGACACAATTTCATATGCATATTCATCTTATATATTCAACTTCATATCTTATTACTCTTTTTCCAACTTCTATTTCTCCTTTACTTCTTTTAATTTTCTTTTATAATTATCTCATTTTCTTATTTAATTGTATTTCTTTTACCTAAATTTCTATATCTTTTTATTCATTATACTTATACTTTCGTCTGTCTTGTTTACAGTTTTATTATGTTCTCTTCCAACATTCTTAAAAAGCAAAATTCCCTCTATGATTGCCAATCGGAGTGCAACACCTTTAAGTCTTATTGTTATTATCATATGAAATTTCTTTAACCATTAAATTTGAGCATTCTAAAATTATAACATTCAAATTTCTAATATCTATTTTATATCGTGTAAATCTCATCATTCAGACTCTGCTTGATACTTCTCCTTAAAAATGTAAAAAGAAAAATTCTAAAAACATAGCAAAAACAATATATATATATATATATTTATATATATATATATATATATATGTATGTATATATTAGTGAACAAAATAGTTATTCAAATTCATTCTAGTACTGGTATGAGCCTTGTAAATCTTTCATGTTTCTTTTCAATATTTATCAATCTTTGAGAACAGTTGAAATGTTTCCCTCCCTTCTTCATTATTACTTAACTGTTAATAAGCATACCATTGGATAGTCATACAATTTTATCTAATAAGTTATTTACTATTAATAAGTAAAATAATTATTCAAATTCATTCTAGTAACTGGTGTAAATTTCCTTGTAAATCTTTCACATTTCTTTTCAATATTTTATCAATCTTTAGAAACAATTACAATGTTTCCCTCTCTTCTTTATTATTGCATTAATTATAAATAAACATACCATTACATAACAATACAATTTTATCTCAAAGATTATTTACTTATTTCATTTCTAACTCATTACAGTATTCTACTGTCACAACACTATCTTTTGTACCTTTGCAGAATTCTCACTTTTAACTTAATTTAGCCATTGTCTCCATGTTTTCTAGCTGAGCAAATACCTTTAATCCTAGTACGTTTCCCCTTTTTCTTTATTTCCTGCTTTTGTCCCTCGTGAGTTCTTTCCCTTTCTATCTTCCCTCCTTTTTCTCATCCCTTTTTTTATACCCTTCTCTCTCTAATTTTCCCTTCTGTAGTTTTCTTTTCTTTTCTCCTTGCTGTTATACTTCTTTTTCAGACTATTTTTCTTTTTGGCTGTTCCCTTTGATCTCAAACTTTTAACTCCTTTCCCCCTTTTTCCCTTTATTACCACACTTTGCATTATTTGATCATTGAAAATGGCTTCTTCTTTTTCCCGCCCTTCTTCTTGCTCTTGAAGTTTTTCCTTTTGCTTTTCATAGTTCAGGATCTCCATTTCAAAAAAATTCAAATACAAAGCCAAAGGATCTTCCTCCCCTTTCTGCATCTTTTTTCTGTTTTTTAAGACTCATCTTCAATTCCTCCAGGAGTGATGGCATTTTAAACACTTTTGAACAACCACCCGATTGACTTTAAGTAAAAACAGAAAAAGACAGAAAAAAACAATGCCCCAAACTGTTTTTTATATCACCAAATGATCCCAGACTGTTCCTTCTTGTTTTTTTCCTTTACTTTTCCTTTCCATGGGTTACTGTATATTTTAATAAGGTTTCAGTTACAATGTATCCTTGGGAGTCTTTTCAAAGTTTCGCTGTTAATCCTCTTTATTTTTCCAGGTGCCACTCCATTTTTCCATTATTCCACGTCCCATCCTTTTGTCTCCACTGTTCTTTTTAGGGCTTTAAAATGACCAAAGAAAAAAAATCTTTATCCTCCTTCTGGCACTTAAATTTCAGCTTAAAGTTGCCTATTAGTGTCCAAATAAATTAATATAGATTTCTTTCCATACCATTTGCAATTGTCAATATAAAGGTTAAAAAAGGGTTTTTTACCTCCTTTTCTCTCTCCTTCGCTGCTTAAAAGTCTTCTTTCAGAAGTATCCCTCTAAGTACTTTTAGATTCAGGGTACCTTGTTTAGATGTTCTCTGTTATTTAGCCTGGTCTGTCCTGCTTTCCTGTTTGTCTTCCCCCTTATCTTATCCTGTTGGGTTCTTCTTTGAGGTGGCCATTTCTGACCACTGCTGCAACCATCTTCGGGAAAGGGAGTTTAGACCAGCCAAGGAGGAGAGATGCGGCTCCCCTCCACTCGGCTAGCAATCTCCCCCCTCTTCACCACCTCTATGGGGTGACTTCAGCCCCGAATCCAAAGGATCAGGGCGCTCCAGTGGCGAGTACAGATCGAAATCGTGCACAATCGTAGACTTCGGTCTGTCGCTGAGGAAACCCAAACCGGAAGCAGACTCTGTGGGGCTTATTTTTTGATTGCTGGTTCTTAAAAGGCAGAAGCTGTCTTCAATATCTTCATTGTCAGTTCTAAGTCTGATTGCTGTAACTATTGTCATGAGTTTGATCTTATTTATATTTAATCGTAATCCCATTATATCATTGTGCACTTTGGCTTTCATTACTAGGGTATGAAGAGCTATCAATATAAATCGTACTAACATGAAATTTACTGCCATTGTTGATCTCACTCTTTTCTCTAGCGCATCAGCTATAACACACTACTGAATGGTGTTGGCCTGATTTTGCACATCCAGCATGTGATAAGCAAATTGATTGGGGGCTTTACAGACATTCCTATTCTTCACATCAACCAATGTGAAAAGCATCTGCCAATTACAGAATTGCATCAGGAATGGGTGAGTCATCTCTAGGATTCTTCCATTACTCTTCTCCAAAGGGAATATTTTTCTGAGTCAGAAAGGAACCCAGAAAAAAATGGCACTTAGGATTTCTCCTCTTTCTTTCTTCTATTAAAAAGGCAATACCTGCCAACTTCCAGATTCCTTTCAATTCTCTTTGGCTAAGAGAGGGTTAGTTTCCATCATTTCATTGTTTCAGTAGTTCAATTTTCCACCAATTTGGTAAGGGCTCCTGAATTAAAGTATTTGCTGTACAGCAGACTTCCCCAACCTTTTTGGATTTCTGGACTGGGGTGGGTGGGAATGGTTCCACACTCAGCAGGCAAGTGTGTGCATATGGTTCCATTTGTACACCTGCCACTTATGCAAATGGAATGTGGGATATGCACTCACTTGTGTGAGAGGAGAGGTGCCTGCATACAAGCACATGCACTTTCACAACCCGGTTTTAAAAGGCTCAAAGCCACATAGTGGACCGTGGTCTGGAGACTGGGGGCTCCTGCTGTACAGTACAGCTTTCTAAGTAGACTAGTAATTCTGATAGGCACTTTGGTGTCCATCATTTTAAGGGGATCTCAGTAGACTGGTGGCAGACAAGAGTTCCTGGCAACTGAAGGTGGCAGGGCAACAATAGATAAAATTGCCAATGAGCACTTCTCTGATCCCACATGCCACTGATCAGTTGGCTTCATATTGATATAAATGGGTGGCAAAATATAACAGATTTTATAGAACATTTATTTATTTGTAACCATCAAACAAAAAATAGTGTTTATTTCTCTTTTCTCTCATGAGGATCTTATAAAAAAAACAAATTGTCAATACCAGTTTAAACTTCTTTAATAGCAGAATAGCACAAAATTTTGCCCCTTGTGGGTTGGAGGTGAAACCAGGACAACATCATGATGACATGTAAAAGAAGATGTTGCCAGATGTAGATTGATAGGAAAATGAACTTGGAGAAAGAATCCAGAGTCCATTGTAGAAATAGCAGATGCAGAAGAAACATAAGAGTAATTTCAAAGAGAGGGACTTTGACTCCCCCACCCCTGAAATCTCTGGAATATAAGAAAGAAGAAAGGGAAAACACCTTTACTGAGATATACCCCATCTCAGGATAGTTCTAATCTTCCTGTAGAGCCTGTTTCCTAAGCTGGTCTATTATGAAGGGCTGACATCAGCACACATTGTATGATAATTAGGTTAAATCGCAGAGGGGTATTAAATTTCACTAAAAACACTGCTTGCTGCGGAGAAGAAACAAGCAAATATATGTATGTTCCCTATATGTGGTAATATACCTTTTTTTTTCCTTTGCCGTATTGTTTTTGTGCTCAGCTTATTGTTTTCAATTGTCAAGAATTTTCAATATCCATAAAGTGATTGTATTTTCTGAACAATACAAATTCTAGAAATTAGTGTATTTCAGCAAATATTTGTTGACATCTTATAAACATTTTTCTTGGCTTTGCAAGAACATTTGGAATCTCAGGGACTAACATTATCTTTCAACTGCCTTTTGAATAAAAGTTTAAGAATGAGTACTTGTAAATGATCTATGCTTAGATAGATAGAATAGATTATAGAAAGAAGAGAATTATATTGTAATTATAAAGTAAGAAATATATAATTGCATTTATAACTGCTGCAAAGAAGATCAGCAGCTACTTTGTAGCTTTTTTCTTTTCTATTTTCTTTTTCTTTTTTTCTTCTTGTATTTTTAGCTTTTCCTTTGATTTCTTCTTTTCTTTTTTTTAGCTTGTGTTAGCTTTTATCATCTTTTTAAAAAGTGCTAAAATTATATTAATAAATTAATATTCTAGACTTTGCTGCAAGTGTTTATTCCTCTTTTTTCTGATGAGGATCTTGTAAAAAAAAAGGCACAAACCTATATTTTTTTAAAATAAAAAGCAGTCACATATAAAATAAGAAAAAGCAACATTAAAAAAGTAACAGCAATAAATAATATATATTGTACCAAATTATACATATATTTCCCCCCTTAAACTTTAAATAAGCAATCCTGTACATTAATTTATAGCACTGAATAAAGTCCTACAGAAAGTTAATCTTCTGGTGTTAGATGTAGGATTTCAGCTTTAAAGCAATTACTTGACAGAAAACTTGTTAGCCCTTTTCTGGGATTATCCTATCCTTCCTCCTCCTCCTCCGCTTCCTCCTCCTCCTCCTCCTCCTCCTCCTCCTCTTCCTCCTATCACAAAATACAAAAACTTGCAAATTGAAATAGAATGACTGTGGTAGAAGAAAGCAAAGATAATACCAATGGTAATAGGTGCCTTGGGTTCAATCCCAAAACATCTGGAGCACCACTTGAACACCTTCAACCACCATCAGTCTGTTGCAGAAGACACCTTTACTTGGTACAACTTACATCCTGTAATAATACCTTTCACACCATCAAACAACAACATCTGCCTATCCCAGGTCCTTGGGAAGACTGGATAAAAATGCCAACCCAGTCTGACTGATTGTGCAGCCAACCACAACAATAAATTAAAAATTGTATACATATAAAATTTGTATATATACCATAAATTGTTGGGAGGTGGGTGGTGGGAGCAGAGTAAACAAATATTTTACAGTAGCGATAAAATATGAGTGCCTATTTTCTGGTACTAAAAAAGGCCAGAATCAGTCACATCCAGCCCAAATCCTAAAATATCTCAGTTAAAGAAGTTAAAGAAACAAGCTTACAATATGCCACACTGCTTAAAATAAAGAGGCTTGGAAAGACAGCTGTGGAAGGAAAGCATGGGCAACTTTATTTTTTGAACTGTATTAATTGATTTTAAGAACAAATGACAGAAACATTTCATATTCTTAAAACAATTAGTTAATTAGTTAAAAACAATTAGATAAAACAAACTCCAGGAAATTATTTCCTCTAGCAAAACATGTGTTAATACCCTATAAATCAAAATTATTTTCTTCTCTACTGATGAGGTTCAATGGAGGTAGATAAAAGATTTAAAATCCCCCATCTAAGTGAAGGAGGCCAAACCATAATCCTTATCCCACTGGATTTCTACATTCATTAACCATGATTAAATAGTATTTCATTCCTCATTTTAAAATATCCATTAGGTGGCTATTGTCATTACAGTTTGTTTTTATATTAACTTTGGAACATTAATGTTCTTTGATCTCTAACTAAAACTTTGGAGTCTGAATTCTGTTTTCTTATCTTTACTAGAATTTCTAACACAAAAGCAGTTGTTATATTCTATTGTACAAGATCTTGAACTTTGATATTTTGAGCTTTAGTGATGTCAGAAAAGTTGGCATCAAAGTGGGAAAGGGAAATAATTTTCTCCACCTTTAAGCTAGAACAGCTAAAAAGATTGAAATGTGTGTACATATTAACATGAAATCAACTTGGGAATAGTAAAGTGGCAACTTCATGAAAGGAACAAATGTCTAAATATGGCTCAAAAACATTGCATTTATGGAATAAACATCAGTCGCTAAACAACATTTTGACAAAATTCCAACCATTTCAAACTGCTGGCAACAGTATAGTGAAGTCTAAGCCAGGAAAAAGGCCAGAAATAATTCGTTTTGGAATTTTAGATCTCCAGCTGCATTGATCCCGGAATAGATATGCAGAAATCCAAAATAAAGCAGAGGCAGAGGGGATTGTGCAGCTGTGATTGTCCCTCTGTTAAGTGGTGAGTGACAGTAAATGCCTGTGGTGCTAGACTTCAGAAACAATTGAATTGCTTTTGACAGTGTTTTTCAACCTTGTGGACTTCAACTCCTAGAATTCCCCAGCGTGCTGACTGAGGAATCCTGAGAGTCAAAGTCTACATACCTGAAAATTGGTAAGTTTGAGAAACACTGTTTTAGACCCTCTCATCCTTTGTATAGCACAGCCCAATTAGACTTAACTCTAAATTGAGAGTTCATAATAAAAAGTATCTGTGGAAATGATGTTCCTGTGTGGGACATGTTGCAACATTCTGAATTGTATTGCTTCTAATCCTGGTTTTTCTTCTGTTGTAATTGCAGGTATCATGCTGAGAAAATATTGTCACCTGAAATACATTATTATTGGATTATTCTTGGTGGTGGCTCTTCTTACTATAATCACTGTGGCTATCACACAGAATTTATTTCCCACCAGGAACCGTAAAGTAAGTTATAGAAAATTTCCCTGCTGAACTGCTATGCTTCTAATCCATTAGACACAAATGAGGAGCCCACGTGAAGACTAAAGTCAGATGTGTGTTAATGCATTCAATGTTGCATGCTTCTTTTTGTTGGAAGCTCCAGGCAACAGCAATAACTCCCTTTCTCTTCCAATAGAATCCCGGAAGGATTGTCCACAACACAAAGAATGCTCCCATTTTTAAGTCCAATATATCTTATCCCCTGCTTACAAGTAAGAAGTAGCTTTCCTTAGATGTACCACTCTACATTCTATTTCGTTCTGGCAATTTCCAGTTTCCCTTTTATTCTAACAATTTCCAAAGCAACCTCATGGTATATAAAATCTGCTAGTAGGTACAATTTAATGGTGGAACTAGTTACCAAGTTGGATGGTTTTCTACATTGAAGGTCTTCTCACCAAGGCTGTATAGTAATTTGTCAGGAAAATTTGTCCAGAATACAGGGTTGGGTTCAATAATGTCAATGTCCCCCTGAAAATGTGATTCTGTTTCTAAGAGAAATCTGCTATATGACACTGTTCGTGAAAGTACATTTTATCATCTTCTCCCAGTACAGTACCCTGAAATTTAAAAAGCAAATGTGTGAGTTTTTCTCTCCTGCAGTATGGGATTGTGTTGGATGCTGGTTCTTCCCACACAAGTGTATATGTATATGAATGGCCAGCTGAGAAAGAAAATAATACAGGAATGGTGCATCAGATTTACGAATGTGAAGCAGAAGGTAAGAAATGGGAAAATTGATGTTTTATAATAAATTAACTATCTCCATGAAATGTGATGGAATTGTGAATGAGGAAAACAAATGCTGCCAAGGAACAATCAGACAAGAGAGACAAGACCCTCCAAGGGTTTAGCAGACAAAGAAATTTAGGAAGGATCTTTTTTATATCGTGGCGACCAAAACTGAATGCAGTATTCCAATTGACCATGTAGTTAAAAAGTGATGACAGGAAATTTGTAACTTCAGAATTGTAAGATTCTATTAATATAGTCTTAAAATAAAGTGGAATTTGTTCATCTAGTTATGTTTTCTGTCTAGTTTACCTGGGAGGGAATGTGTTTATGAAGGGGAGGGGCGGGGTTGGACTATACCACAGGTGTCAAACTCAAAACATCATGTTAGCACGTGACGTATCGTGACTTTTTTCCCCCTTTGTTAAACCTGGGGTGGGCTTGGCCAGTGTGTGATGCATCTAGCCCAGGGGCCACAATTTTGACACCCCCAGACAACACTGAAGGGTAGAATGGCAGGAGTAGATTCCAAAGAGTGGGGAAGACAAGAGAACGCACACCCCAAACCTGAATTAACAATAGAATAGAATAGAATAGAATAGAATAGAATAGAATAGAATAGAATAGAATAGAATAGAATA